AGACATAATCTACGTTTGATAGGCGTACCTGAATGCGACGAAGAGAATGAATCGAAGCTGGAAAATATTCTTCAGGATATTATCCAGGAAAACTTCCCCAACCTAGCAAGGCAGGCAAACATTCAAGTCCAGGAAATACAGAGAACACCACAAAGATATTCCTCAAGAAGAGCAACCCCAAGGCACATAATCGTCAGATTCACCAGGGTTGAAATGAAGGAGAAAATATCAAGGGCAGCCAGAGAGAAAGGTCGGGTTACCCACAAAGGGAAGCCCATCAGACTCACAGCAGATCTCTCAGCAGAAACCCTACAAGCCAGAAGAGAGTGGGGGCCAATATTCAACATCCTTAAAGAAAAGAACTTTCAACCCAGAATCTCCTATCCAGCCAAACTAAGCTTCATAACTGAAGGAAAAATAAAATCCTTTGTGAACATGCAAGTACTCAGAGATTTCGTCACCACCAGGCCAGCTTTACAAGAGCTCCTGAAAGACGCTCTACACATATAAAGGAACGACAAGTACCAGCCACTCCAAAAACATGCCAAAAGGTAAAGAATCAACACAATGATGAATCTGCATCGACTAAAGGGCAAAACACCCAGCTAGCACCAAAATGGCAGTATCAAATTCGCACAATATTAACCCTAAATGTAAATGGACTAAATGCCCCAATCAAAAGACACAGACTGGCAAATTGGATAAAAAGACAAAACCCATCGGTGTGCTGTATCCAGGAAACCCATCTCACATGCAAGGATACAAAAAGGCTCAAAATAAAGGGATGGAGGAAGATTTACCAAGCAAATGGAGAGCAAAAAAAAAAGCAGGAGTTGCAATTCTCATCTCTGATAAATTAGACTTTAAAGCAACAAAGATCATAAGAGACAAAGAGGGACATTATATAATGGTAAAAGGATCAATGCAACAAGAAGAGCTAATGATCCTAAATATATACGCACCCAATACAGGAGCACCCAGATACATAAGGCAAGTTCTTAATGACTTACAAAGAGACTTAGACCCCCACACAATAAGAGTGGGAGACTTTAACACCCCATTGTCAACATTAGACAGATCAACCAGACAGAAAATTAACAAGGATATCCAGAACTTGAACTCAGACCTGGACCAAGCAAACCTAATAGGCATTTACAGAACTCTCCACCCCAAATCCACAGAATATACATTCTTCTCAGCCCCACATCACACCTACTCTAAAACTGACCACATAATTGGGAGTAAATCACTCCTCAAAATGCAAAAGAACAGAAATCGTAACAAACAGTCTCTCAGACCACAGTGCAATCAAGTTAGAACTCAGAATTCAAAAACTAGCCCAGAACCGCACAGCTTCATGGAAACTGAACAACTTGCTCTTGAATGTTGACTGGATAGACAATGAAATGAAGACAGAAATAGAGATGTTCTTCGAAACCAACGAGAATGAAGACACAACATACCAGAATCTCTGGGACACATTTAAAGCAGTCTCTAGAGGAAAATATATAGCAATAAGTGCCCACATGAGAAACAAGGAGAGATCAAAAATTGACACCCTATTGTCAAAACTGAAAGAGCTAGAGGAGCAAGATCAAAAAAACTCAAAGTCTAGCAAAAGACAAGAAATAGCTAAGATCAGAGCAGAACTGAAGGAGATAGAGACACAAAAAACCCTTAAAAAAATCAATACATCCAGGAGCTGGTTTTTTGAAAAGATCAACAAAATAGACAGACCACTAGCCACATTAATAAAAAAGAAAAGAGAGAATAACCAAATTGATGCAATAAAAAACGATAAAGGGGATATCACCACAGATTCCACAGAAATTCAAACCATTATCAGAGATTATTACAAACAACTCTATGCACATAAACTAGTAAACCTGGAAGAAATGGATAAATTCCTGGACACTTGCCTCCTCCCAAGCCTAAACCAGGAAGAAGCCGAAACCCTGAACAGACCCATAACAAGGTCTGAAGTTGAGGCAGCAATTAAGAGCTTACCACCCAAAAAAAGCCCAGGTCCAGACGGGTTGACAGCCAAAGAGGAGCTGGTACCATTCCTTCTGAAACTATTCCAAACAATACAAAAAGAGGGAATTCTTCCCAAATCATTTTATGACACCAACATCATCCTGATACCAAAACCCGGCAGAGACTCAACAAGAAAAGAAAACTTCAGGCCAATATCCATGATGAACATAGATGCAAAAATCTTCAATAAAATACTGAAAAGCCGATTGCAACAGCACATCAAAAAGCTTATCCACCATGATCAAGTAGGCGTTATCCCGGGGATGCAAGGCTGGCTCAACATACGCAAGTCTATAAACATAATTTACCACATAAACAGAACCAAAGACAAAAACCACATGATTATCTCAATTGATGCAGAGAAGGCCTTTGACAAATTCAACAGCTCTTTATGCTAAAAACCCTCAATAAGCTAGGTATTGATGGAACGTATCTCAAAATCATAAAAGCTATTTATGACAAACCAACAGCCAATATCATGCTGAATGGGCAAAAACTGGAAGCATTCCCCTTGAAATGTGGCACCAGACAAGGATGCCCTCTTTCAACACTCCTATTCAATATAGTACTAGAAGTTCTAGCCAGAGCAATCAGGCAAGAAAAAGAAATAAAGGGCATTCAAATAAGAAAGGAAGAAGTCGAATTGTCTCTATTTGCAGACGACATGATTGTATATCTAGAAGACCCCATCGTCTCAGCCCCAAATCTCCTGAAACTGATAAGCAAGTTCAGCAAAGTCTCAGGATATAAAATCAATGTGCAAAAATCACAAGCATTCCTATACACCAATAACAGACTTAAAGAGAGCCAAATCAAGAACAAACTTCCATTCACAATTGCCACAAAGAGAATAAAATACCTAGGAATACAACTAACAAGGAACATAAAGGACCTCTCCAAGGAGAACTACAAGCCACTGCTCAATGAAATAAGAGAGGACACAAACAGATGGAGAAACATTCCATGTTCATGGTTAGGAAGAATCAATATCGTGAAAATGGCCATACTGCCCAAAGTAATTTACAGATTCAATGCTATCCCCATCAAGCTACCAATGACCTTCTTTGCAGAAGTGGGAAAAATCACCTTAAACTTCATATGGAACCAAAAGACAGCCCGCATAGCCAAGTCAATTCTAAGCAAAAAGAACAAAGCGGGGGGCATCACACTACCAGACTTCAAACTATACTACAAGGCTACAGTAATCAAAACAGCATGGTACTGGTACCAAAACAGAGATATAGACCAATGGAACAGAACAGAGGTCTCGGAGGCAACACAACATATCTACAACCATCTGATCTTTGACAAACCAGACAAAAACAAGCAATGGGGAAAGGATTCCCTGTTCAATAAATGGTGTTGGGAAAGCTGGCTAGCCATGGGCAGAAAGCAGAAACTGGACCCCTTCCTGACACCTTACACTAAAATTAGCTCCAGATGGATTAAAGACTTAAACATAAGATCTAACACCATAAAAACCCTAGAAGAAAATCTAGGCAAAACCATTCAGGACATAGGTGTAGGCAAGGACTTCATGACCAAAACACCAAAAGCATTGGCAACAAAAGCCAAAATAGACAAATGGGACCTAATCAAACTCCACAGCTTCTGCACAGCAAAAGAAACAGTTATTAGAGCAAATCGGCAACCAACAGAATGGGAAAAAATTTTTGCAGTTTACCCATCTGACAAAGGGCTGATATCCAGAATTTACAAAGAACTAAAACAGATTTACAAGAAAAAACTAACAAGCCCATTCAAAAGTGGGCAAAGGATATGAACAGACACTTTACAAAAGAAGACATACGTGAGGCCAACAAACATATGAAAAAATGCTCATCATCACTGGTCATCAGAGAAATGCAAATCAAAACTACATTGAGATACCATCTCACGCCAGTTAGAATGGCCATCATTAAAAAATCTGGAGACAACAGATGCTGGAGAGGATGTGGAGAAATAGGAACACTTTTGCACTGTTGGTGGGAGTGTAAATTAGTTCAGCCATTGTGGAAGACAGTGTGGCGATTCCTCAAGGACCTAGAAATAGAAATTCCATTTGACCCAGCAATCCCATTACTGGGTATATATCCAAAGGATTACAAATCGTTCTACTATAAGGACACGTGCACACGAATGTTCATTGCAGCACTGTTTACAATAGCAAAGACCTGGAACCAACCCAAATGCCCATCGACGATAGACTGGATAGGGAAAATGTGGCACATATACACCATGGAATATTATGCAGCCATCAAAAACGATGAGTTTGGGTCCTTTGTAGGGACATGGATGAACCTGGAAACCATCATTCTCAGCAAACTGACAGAAGAGCAGAAGATCAAACACAGCATGTTCTCACTCATAGGCGGGTGTTGAACAATGAGAACACATGGACACAGGGAGGGGAGCACCACACACTGGGGTCAGTTGGGGGGAAATAGGGAGGGACGGTGGAGGGTAGGGGGCTGGGGAGAGATAGCAAGGGGAGAGATGCCAGATGTAGGTGATGGGGAGGAAGGCAGCAAATCACACTGCCACGTGTGTACCTATGCAACAATCTTGCATGTTCTTCACATGTACCCCAAAACCTAAAATGCAATAAAATATATTAATGGGGTAAAAAAAAAAAGAAAGAATGCATACACATAATAGAAGTATTAAAAAATATGTAAAATCACAAAAAGTTTTAAACGACACAGAACAGTGGGTCCTTCAGCAGAAAGGGAGAGGGACTGGATAGAAAAGAATCACATAAGTCGATGCAAGTTACTGGTAATATCTCAGTTCTTGGGTTAAGTTATTGGCTCATGGGTTTCATTATATCCTCATGCTTTTAATGTTTTAATTACATATTAATATAACATATATTCTTTTATATGTATTAATTGTTGTATTTTGAGATGATAGTAAAAATTTGAAATCAGAACATATATATATAAATGTATTAATAAGGCTTATTTTTAAAATGCAGGTTAAGGAGAATAAGTGGAACTAATTGTTGGGGGAGGTTGCTGTATGATATAAACCCTCAAAAAAAAAAAGCTTGTTTGGAGGGGCTGGGCATGGTGGCCCATGCCTGCAATTCCAGCACTTTGGAAAGCCGAGGTGGGTGGATCACCTGAGGTCAGGAGTTCCAGACCAGCCTGGTCAACATCGTGAAACCCTGTCTCTACTAAAAACAGAAAAAAATTAGCCAGGCGTGGTAGCAGGCACCTGTAATCCCAGCTACTTGGGAGGCTGAGGCAGGAGGATCACTTGAACCCAGGATGCAGAGATTATAGTGAGCTGAGATCATGCCATTGCATTCCAGTCTGAGGGACAAGAGTAGGACTTCTTCTAAAAAAAAAAAAAAAAAAAAGGCTGTTTGGTAAGGTAATATTCAGAGAGACTGAGAGAGAGTAATAGAGTAATCCATTCAGATATCTAGGGTATTAACTTTCCAGGCAAAAGGAATAGAGGTATGAAGGCTCTAAAGCAGAAGCTAAAGGGAATGTAGCCAGTGAGGATGCAACAAAGTGAGCAAGAGGAAGATCAGAGGACAAAGACAATGAGGAAGCAGAAGGCCTTAGCATGGAGGATCTCATGGGCCTCTGTAATGAATGCATTTATTCTGAGTTAGATGGGAAAATTTATTCTCACCGGAGGAAAAACGACTATTACCATTTATAGAATATGAAATGCCTATCCTATTATTAGATCTTTTTTGTGAATAGAGTTGCACTGTTCTAAGACTAGAAGGAAGTCAACCCAGAGACTCAGTCTTATTTGCCTATATTTAAAATCTCTATAGTAAGGTTTTGTGTTTATGTAAATGTTGATTCAAAAGACTTTTAAAACGTTCTTCTGAGTCACATAGGGTACTGACAAGATGCACACAAGTCAAAAGGGTCTGCACCAAAGCACTTTTTGGGGAGATTTGTCTGTCTTAAATGGAAGTGCTAAACTGGCAGTTACCAAATTTCAGAAAGTTCTAAGTTTAAAACACTCATTTGAGGAAAAAAAAGTTTTATCGTACTTACTTATTTATTGACAAGGTCTTGCTCTGTTACCCAGGCAGAAATGCAGTGGCATGATCACGAATCACTTCAGCCTCAACCTACAGGCTCAAGTGATCCTCCCACCTCAGCCTCCCAAGCATCTGAAAATATAGGCATATGCCACCACAAACAGCTAATTTTTTATTTTTTGTAGAGAAATGGTCTCACTATGTTGCCCAGGTTGGAAAAAAAGACGTTTCAAAGAACTAAATTACTGGAAATAGTCTCACAATGAGGAGAACTGAAATAATTCAAGAAATCACGAATCACTTCAGCCTCAACCTACAGGCTCAAGTGATCCTCCCACCTCAGCCTCCCAAGCATCTGAGGCTATAGGCATATGCCACCACAAACAGCTAATTTTTTATTTTTTGTAGAGAAATGGTCTCACTATGTTGCCCAGGTTGAAAAAAAGATGTTTCAAAGAACTAAATTCCTGGAAATAGTCTCACAATGAGGAGAACTGAAATAATTCAAGAAACCTGGGTTATACTGAGGAGCTTATTATTTACAAGTGTACAACATTAGGAACTCATTATCTAAGTTTGGAATCAATTATTTCTAAAGTTTGTTCCAGGAGTACCTTACTAAGTTTTTAACATTATGAACCTATAGTCGAATGAGAAATATGACTCTATTTGGGCCAGATCTTAGAGAAGAATCAGATAATTCAGATTTGATGATATTTAGGATAATAAAATTAGCAATTCTTTACAGTTTCTTCTAAGTACACACACTCTCAAAATTAAGAGTGCCTAAGAATTACCCTAAACATTTGTAAAAAATGTAGATTCCAGAGTCCCACTTCCAGATAGTCTAATTATACAGACCTGGGATAGAACTTAGGGATCTACCTTGTAAACTAACTTCCCAGATAATACTGATATAAGTGGACAACCACACCACACTGAGAGAAATCACCCAGGTTTTAATTTAGCTGAAGAGACAATTATAACAGTTTAAGGATTACTTTAAATAATCTCAATCTGCAATTTAAATTTAAATTCAAAATATTAAATTTAAATTCAAAAATTTAATAACTGTTAAATTTTAAAATGGGGGGGGAGAAAAGGAAAAAGCTGTTAAGTCATCTGAGTCTTGCTTTTACAATCTTAGGAAAAGAAATCTAGGAAAGAGAAATAGAAAGCAAGAGAATTATTTGAACAGTTTAGTGCTTGTGGGTCTCCTGTCAAGATTTTGAATGAATTGATTCCATAAAGAAGTACAGCATACTTCTTTATGGATGTTACTGTTACATTTAACAGCATAGTTATGAGACATAGCAGCTTTCCAAATAATCAACTAGATAGCCTTGCAACTTCTTTGACTGGATCACTATGGCTTTTAAAAAAGGTCTCACCAATTTTGTGCAAGCTTTGTGTTTCTCATTGATTTCATATACTTAATGCCCAAATTCTGCTTGGACTTTTAAATCTCTAACCTTTGTAACTATTATGAGCTTTCTTCATCATTCACATGGTCATATTCACTTGCTTTACAACTATAATTTGTTTTTTATGCCATTACTTTGTTTGTTCTTGGCAGAGTGAATCAACTGTTCTAGCGACTATCTCACCTCCACCAGCATCAATGGCCAGTGTGGCCATGACATTTTGAAATTGCTGGCCAGATAGTAGTTACGAGAGTTATACTAAAATATAGCCTCAGAATCCAAGAGTTTAAGATACTATCAGGAGTTTCAGATATCCAGGTACTAAGGTATTAAGATGAGCAATGGAAACAAATTCTACTTAGACTTTCAATCAATAGTTACCATAAAATGTGACAGGACTTTGTATAATACTGAAGAAGTGAACAACTTCATTAAATACCAAATCACCTAATTATTTTCACCCAAAATTTTACTTGCACATGAATACTTTAGCAATAAAGAAAGTTTACTGCTGTGAACAATTACAGAGGATAGAGGCTAAAGATAAGGCTTCATAGGCCGATGATATAATTGTAAAATATTGATTTTAATGTCAAGATTTTCTTAATGTCAAAATGTCAAATTTTCTTAATTTTGCAAATATTGTATTAATATATTTATCTATCGTTCAGACTTCCCTATCTGTAAAATACAAAAAAAAAAAAAACATATTTGTAATTAAGATTTGACTTTAGACAAGGGCAAAAGAAGATGGCCAAGTAGAGCCCTCCAGCAATCATCCCCCATGCAGGAACACCAAATTAAACAACTATCAACACAAGAAAGCATTATTATAAAACCAAAAAAATCAGGTGTGCAATCATAGTATCTAACTTTACTATCAAAGGGAGAGTCATTTAAAAGGGTAGGAAGGATAACCTAGGCAAATCTTGCATTACCTACAACATCTCTCCCCCAAACCCAGGCGGCATAGCACTGAGAGAGAATCTGTATCTGGAAAAGGGAGAGTGAAGTGATTATGGGATACTGCATTGTAACTCAGTGGTGCCCTACCACAGTGGAACACAACACTGGGCAGAATTCTGCCAGCTCACAGAGGGGGCATATAGACCATCCCTGGCCCAGATGGGAAAGCCTCCATCTCCAGGAGGAGAAAGCCACGTTTCAGCCGACTTCAACATCTGTGGAATAAAGTGGCCTGAGCCTCTAATAAATTTGAGTGGCAGTTAGGCCATAGTAACTATAGTACTTGGGAAAGCCCCAGTGTTGCAATGGCCTAAGAGACTGGGCTTGGAGTGCAATCCAGCACAATACTGGCTGCAGTGATGACAGAAGTACATGCATCGCCTCTCCCCCAACTTCATGTAGTGCAATGCAGAGACTCTTTCCACTTGTGGAAAAGAGAGGAAAGAATAAAGAAGACTTGTCTTGCTACTGAATACAAGCTCAGCCACAGTAAAACACAAAAACCCAAATACAAGTAGAATCCTAAAGGCTTCAATTGCAGGTCTTTAGTCTTGAATGGTGTTTCTTGACACACCCAGGGCCAGAAAGGAATCTGCAACCCTGGTCGTATAAATTGACTCCCAGCAGAACTCACCACTAGATAAGGGGCCTCCAGCCTTGAATAAACATCATCAGCAGCCAAATAGTGGTGGCCATGGGGCTTGGGTGACCCCTGGTGGATGCTGCATTCAGCAGGGAGTCCTCAGGCTTTCCTGGTGTTCTAATGCAGTCAACTCCTGTGCTGACCACAGGAGTGCAGGTATCACTCCTCTTCCAACTCAAGGCAGCCAAGCATAAAGACCCCTTCCACTTGGGGGAAAGAGCTGGAAGAGCCAGAGACTCTGCCTGGGAACCCAGGAAGTTCTCCCTTATCTTGCCCAAGTCCGCCAAGGCTATGAATCTAGGAGTCACAGCATACCTGGGCTTAGGGCACCTGGTAGTAGTAGCTATAGGCTTTGGTAACAACATTCAGCTACATTTGAAATCTTAGAAAATCCACTCAAGGAGAGGTACAAACAATGCCATAAGACAAAGACTGAAATAAATATCTAACACTGTATTGCCCAGACAATGGTGAATGTCCATAAGCATCAAGAACAACTAGGAAAACACGACCTCACCAAACAGACTAAATAGGGCTCCAGTGACCAATCTTGGAGTGATGAAGACATGTGGCCTCAGACAGGGAATTCAAAACAGCTGTTTTGAAAAAGCTCAATCAACTTCAAGATAACACAGAGAAGGAATTCTATCAGATAAATTTAAGAGAGAGACTCAAATAATTTTAAAAATAAACAATTCCTGGCTAAAAAATTCAGTTGACAAACTGAAAAATACATCAGTGTCTAAACAGCAGAACTGATCAAGCAGAAAAAGAATTAGCAAAGCAGAAGAAGAATTAGTGAGCTTGGAAACAGGCTATGTGAAAATACACAGAGAAATTAAAGAATACACAAAAACATGGAAAGATATTCTATGTTCATGGCTTGAAAGAATATTGTAAAAATAGCCATATTACTCAAAGTGAACTATAAATGTAGTGAAATTCCTACAAAAATATCAATGACATTCTTCACAGAAATAGAAAAACAAAATCCTAACTTTTATATGGAACCACAAAAGATCCAGAATACCTAAAGCAATCACGAGCAAAAAGAACAAAACTAGAGGAATAATACTTCCTGACTCTAAATTATGCTAGAAAGCTATAGTAACCAAAATAGCATGGTAGGGACATAAAAACAGACACATAGAGCAATGAAAGAGAACAAAGAACCCAGCTATAAATCCACATATTTGCAACCAACTCACCATCAACAAGTGCCAAGAACATACACTGAGAAAACAACAGTCTCATCTACAAATGGTGCTGGGAAAACTGGATATCCTTACGCAGAAGAATTAAACTAGACAGCTGTTCTCACTATATACAAAAATCAAATCAAAATGGATTAAGGACTTAAATACCTTAAACTGTGAAACTACTAGAAGAAAACGTAGGAGAAATGATTCAGGACACTAATCTGGACAAAGATTTCTTGAATAAGACTTTAAAAGCGCAAGAAACCAAAGCAAAAATGGACAAATGGGATCATGTCAAGCTAAAAAGCTTCTGCACAGCAAAGAAAACAATCAACAAAGAGACAATCTGAAGAACAGAAGAAAATATAGGCACACTATTCACCTGACAAAAGATTAATAATGAGAAAATATAAGCAATTCAAACAATTCAATAGCAAAATAACAAATTACTGGATTAAAAAAATGGGCCAAAGATCTCAATAGACGTTTCTTAAAAGAAGACATACAAATGAACAACAGGTATATAAAACAATCCTCAACAACACTACTCATCAGAGAAATACAAATCAAAACCATAGTGAGATATCATCTCAGCCCAGTTAAAATGGCTTTTATCAAAAAGATAAAAAATAATGGATGATGGGGAGGATGTGGAGAAAGAAGAATACTCATACACAGTTTATGGGAAGGTAAATTAGTATGCTACTATGGAAAACAGGATGGATGTTCCTCGAAAAACTAAAAATAGAAATGGTCCAGCAAACTCACTGCTGGGTACATATTCAAAAGAAAAAAAAAATCAGTATATTGGAAAGGTATCTGCACTCCTGTGCTTATTCCAGTACTATTCACAATAGTCAAGATAGAGAATTGACCTAAGTGCCCATCAACAGATGAATAAAGAAAAAATATGATACACATAAGCAATGGATTATTATTTCACCATAATAAAGAATAATATCTTGTCACTTGAGACAACATGGATAGTAATGGAAGACGTTATATTAGGTGAAATAAGCCAAGTACAAAAAGACGAATACTGCACATTCTCACTCATACGTGGGTGCTAAAAAGGTTCATCTCATGGAGGTAGAAAGTAGAATAATAGTTACCAGAGGTTGGGAAGGGTGTGCATAGGGGTTGGGAAAGAGGGTAGGATAAAAAGGGGTTGGTTAGTGGGTACAAAAATACAGTTTGATAGTAGGAATAAGACCCAGTGTTTGATGGCACAACAGGGAAACTATAGTTAATAATTACTTATTGTATATTTCAAAATTACTAGAGAGGTGGATTTGGAATGTTCTCAATGCAAAAAAGTGACAAATATTTGAGGTGATGGATATTGCAATTCCCCTGATTTGATCATTACACAGTGTCTGCTTTTATCAAATATCATATGCACTCCATAAATATGTACAACTACCACGTAACCATAAAAATACAAAAACAAGAAAAGAATATTTTGCCAATAGTTTTGCCCAGTAAAGTATCTTTTTTCTTGCCCCATATAAGGAGGTTATGTGGTAAGTTAAACCACTATGGAGAAAAGCCACTGAATCTCATAACACAAGTTATGTATGTTGTGTCATACAGGCATGAACTAGTATTCAGTAACACGTTTAAGTTCTAGTTTAGTAACTTTCTAAACGTATGATCTTGGAAAAAATAAAAACCTCCCTGGGCCTCAATATCCTCAAGTATAGAATGAGTTTGACAGTAACCTCTCTTATTCTGAGAGTTAAGTAAGGTAATTCATATAAAATGGTTATCACAAAACCTATTACAGGGAACACAAGAAGTATAAAAAATCATTATCATCATCATAAATACAGGTTAAAAGGATAACACTCTATATACAATAAAAAGTAATGAACTGTATGTGGGAGAAGATAAAATCAGAATTTTAAAAGAGATTTAAGTAGAGCTATCTGATTGCATAATTTGGTTTGTAATAAATGATGGCTGGGTCAGTAAAGGTATTTCACATAATTCTAGCAATATCAAAAGTCACTGTTGTGAGACTTAAAGAGATTCCTTGTACAGGTTGCCATTTTAAAAAATAATTTTCAAAAGCATATTTTTCTCCTCTCTGCTAATCTCATGGCCAGAGCTATGGTTTACCCACATCAAACATCCTATTCTTCTCCTTCATTCATAGATCATAAATTTTGTACAGCTTCTAACTTTTCCTTATTTCTACTTTTGAAACTAGTAGAAGCCTCTGATTGAAACATTCCATATGAACCAGAGCAGGCAGCTCTGTTATGTAAAAACTTAAAGGACCAAGAATTGTATACTCATTAAAGATGTTAGAAATATATATTTATCAGTCTAACATCTTTCCTTGCATGTTTCCTACTCCTTGCATTCCCTCATTTCTTCTTTTTTTCAAAGGGAAATGTCAACACTGACCTAAAAAAGCAAATTTTAAAATATTGATAGATGCTCTTAAAATGCACTAATGGATGCTAAATCAAAGAAATATCATGACAAAATAAGGGACACTGAAAAATATCTCTTGAAGTCATTTTCCAAAGATGATATGTTAATCCATGAAAGCCCTGATACATATGGTAATTATGGGCAACATATTTTGCTAAACTGAACTGAAGAAACAATTCAAAATTCTTCAAGGTGAATAATTAAGGAATATTTGGTTTCTCTGGTGTTTGTTTCTTTGAAAAGGTTCATTTTACAGCTGAAAGTTTCAGAGAAGATTACTAGAAAATACTCTTCTCTCTTCAGCATGTGGAAAGACTGTTCCACAGCAATCTTTATATTCTGTAAATCTATCCTACTGTAGTAGTCTACTGTAATCTTTGTTCTACAAGCAGTCAATTCTACCATGAAACAAAAATCCTCTCTATCTTAAGAAATTTGCTTACCAGAACATTTTCAATATACTGAAATAGACATTTCTCAGGTACTTAATGTGTTCAATTGCTGGAGCGTATCAAAATCTTCAAATTTAAGACAAGTGCAGAGAGGATCCAAGATGGCCAAATAGGAACAGCTCTGGATTGTAGTTCCCAGCGAAAACGCAGAGGATGAGTCATCACCACATTTCCAAACAAATTTTTACTGCCCACAGACCAGGAGATTCCTGGGCAGAAAAGTGTCGTGAGTCTCCAGTGCGGCTGTTTCAGCTGGCGCAGTGGGTCTCCGCACGAAAACACACACAAAGCCAGGCACCATTTCAACTGGCGACTGGAAAGTCTGAGAGACGGAGTCACCCATTCAGCTGAAAAAAGGGGCTGAAACAGGGAGCCAGGTGATCTGGCTTGGCTGGTCCCACCCCCACAAAGACCAGCAATCTGAAACGCTCTGGATTGAGAGTTTCACAGCAAGCACAGCTGGACCCAGGACGGTCCAGCACTGTCGGGGGGAAGGGTGTCTGCCATTACCGAGGCAGTCCACCACTACCAAGGCAGTCTGCCATTACTGAGGCAAACCGCCATTACTGAGGCAGACTGCCATTACTGAGGGAGACCGCCATTACCGAGGCAGTTCTCATTATATCCCTATAAACAAAACCGAAAGGAAGTTCACACAGCAGGTGGGTAGAGCCCACGGCAGCTCTGCAACACTTCTGCTGGTAGACTGTGACTAGGCTACCTCCTTGCTGGGCATGGCATCTATGAAAAAAGGAAGCAGAATGACAGGAACTTATAAAAAAAGCCCCACCTTCCTGGGACAGAGCACCTGGGAAAAAAAGGCAGTTATGTGTTCCATTGCAGCAGACTTAAACGTACCTGCCCAGCAGCTCTGAACAGAACAACGGAGCTCACAGCTCAGCACTTGAGCTCCTATAAGGGACAGACTGTCTCCTCAAGTAGCTCCCTGACCCCTGTATAACCAAAGAGACACCTCATACAGAAGAGCTCAGACTGACATCTGGCAGGTATCCATCTGGGACAAAGATAACAGAAGAAACTGACAGCAATATTTACTGTTCTGCAGCTGCTGCAGGTGATCCTCAGGCAAGCAGGGTCTGGAGTTAACCTCCATCAGTTCTACAGCAGGAGGCCTGTTACAGGAAAACTAAGAAACAGAAAGAAATAACTTCATCAGCAAAAAAAAGGACGTCTACTCAGAGATCCCACCTGAAAGTCACCAACCACAAAGACCACAGGTAGATAAATCCACAAAGATGCAAAGAAACCAGAGTAAAAATGATGAAAATACCCAAAATCACAATGCCTCTCCTCCTACAAGGGATCACAACTCCTCACCGGCAAGGGAACAATGCTGGATAGAAAATGAGTCTGATGAATTGAAAGAAACAGGCTTCAGAAGGTGGGTAAGAACAAACTTCTCTGACCTAAATATCATGTTCTAACCCAGTGCAAAAAAACTAAGAACCTTGAAAAAAGGTTTGACAAGATGCTCATAAGAATAAACAGCTTAGAAAGAAATATAAACGAATTGATGGAGCTGAAAAACACAACACGAGAACTTTGCGAAGCATACACAAGTTTCAATAGCCGAATCGATCAAGCAGAAGGAAGGATATCAGAGATTGAAGATCAACTCAATGAAATAAAATGAGAAGGCAAGATGAGAGAAAAAAGAGTAAAAAGAAATGAACAAAGCTTCCAAGAAATATAGGATTGTGTGGAAAGACCAAATCTATGTTTGATAGGTATACATGAACGTGGCAGAGAGAATGAATCCAAGCTTGAAAACACTCTTCAGGACATTATCCAGGAGAACTTCCCCAACCTGGCAAGGCAGGTCAACATTCAAATACAGGAAATACAGAGAACACCACAAAGATATGCCCCAAGAAGAGCAACCCCAAGGCACATAATCGTCAGATTCACCAGGGTTGAAATGAGGGAAAAAATGCTAAGGGCATGCAGAGAGAAAGATCACGTTACCCATAAAGGGAAGCCAATCAGAATCCCAGCAGATCTCTCAACAGAAACCCTACAAGCCAGAAGCCAGTGGGGACCAATATTCAACATCCTTAAAGAAAAGAACTTTCAACCCAGAATTTCATATCCAGCCAAACTAATCTTCATAAGCAAAGGAGAAATAAAATCCTGTATGAACAAACAATTGCTCAGAGATTTCATCATTACCAGGCCTGCTTTACAAGAGCTCCTGAAAGAGGCATTAACACAGAAAGGAACAACCAGTACCAGCCATTCCAAAAACGTACCAAATGGTAAAGAGCATCAACACAATGAAGAAATTGCGTCAACTAATGGGCAAAACAACCAGCTAGCATCAAAATGGCAGGATGAAATTCACACGTAACAATATTAACCTTAAAGGTAAATGAGCTAAATGCACCAATCAAAAGACACAGACTGGCAAATTGGATAAAAATCCATTGGTGTGCTGTATCCAGGAAATCCATCTCACATGCAATGATACACATAGGCTCAAAATAAAGGGATGGAGGAAGATTTACCAAGCAAATGGAGAGGAAAAAAAAAAAAGCAGGAGTTACAATCCTAGTCTCTGATAAAATAGACTTTAAACCAATAAAGATCAAAGGAGACAAAGAAGGGCATTACATGATGGTAAAAAGATCAATGCAACAAGAAGAGCTAACAATCCTAAATAAATACGTGCCCAATACAGCAGCACCCAGACACATAATGCAATTTCTTAATGACCTACAAAGAGACTTAGACTCCCATACAATAATACTAAGAGACTTTAACACTCCACTGTCAATATTAGACAGATCAATGAGACAGAAAATTAACAAGGATATCCAGAACTTGAACTCAGACCTAGACCAAGAAAACCTAATAGACATTTACACAACTCTCCACCCCAAATCCACAGAACATACATTCTTCTCAGCGCCACATCAAACCTACTCTAAATTTGACCACATAATGGGAAGTAAATCACTCCTAAGCAAATGCAAAAGAACAGAAATCATAACAAACAGTCTCTAGACCACAGTGCAATCAAATTAGAATTCAGAATTAAGAAACTAACTCAGAACTGCACAACTTCATGGGAACTGAAAAACTGGCTCTTGAATGTAAACAATGAAATGAAGGCAGAAATAAAGATGTTATTCGAAACCAATGAGAATGGAGACACAATGTAGCAGAATCTCTGGGACACATGTAAAGCAGTGTCTAGAGGAAAATTTATAGCAATAAATGCCCACATGATAAGCAAGGAAAAGATCTAAAATTGACACCCTAGTCATCAAAATTGAAAGAGCTAGAGGAACAAGATCAAAAAAACTCAAAAGCTACCAGAAGACAACAAATAACTAAAATCAGAGCAGCACTGAAGGAGATAGAGACACAAAAAAAAAACCTTCAAAAAATCAATAAATCCAGGAGCTGTTTTTTTTTTAAAGATCAACAAAATAGACCACTAGCCAGCTTAACAAAAAAGAAAAGAGAGAATACTCAAATAGATACAATAAAAAATGATAAAGGGGATATCACCTCGGATTCCACAGAAATACAAACCACCATCAGAGATTATTACAAGGAACTCTATGCACACAAACCAGGAAACCTGGAAGAAATTGATAAATTCCTGGACAATTACATCCTCCCAAGCCTGAACAAGGAAGAAGTCGAAGCCCTGATTAGACCAATAACAAAGGCTGAAGTTGAGGCAGCAATTAATAGCTTATCAACCAAAAAAAGCCTAGGTCCAGATGGGTTCACAGCCGAATTCTAACAGACATACAAAGAGAAGCTGGTGCCACTCCTTCTGAAACTATTCCAAGCAATACCAAAATAGAGAATCCTCCCCAAATCTTTTTATGAGACCAACATCATCCTGATACCAAAACCCGGCAAAGACTCAGCAAGAAAAGAAAACTTCAGGCCAATATCCATGATGAACATAGATGCAAAAGTCTTCAATAAAATACAGGAAACCCATTGCAACAGCACATCAAAAAGCTTACCCATCACGATCAAGTAGGCTTCATACCAGGGATGCAAGCCTGGTTCAACATGCGCAAGTCTATAAACGTAATTCACCACATAAACAGAACCAAAGACAAAAACCATATGATTATCTCAATAGATGTAAAGAAGACCTTTGACAAAATTCAACAGCCCTTTATGCTAAACTCTCAATAAAGTAGATATTGAAGGATTGTATCTCAAAATAATAAAAGCTATTTACGACAAACCAACAGCCAATATCATACTAAATCGGCAAAAACTGGAAGCATTCCGTTCGAAATCAGGCACAAGACAAGGATGCCCTCTCTCACCACTCCTATTCAATATAGTATTGGAAGTTCTAACCAGAGCAATCAGGCAAGAAAAAGAAATAAAGGATATTCAATTAGGAAAGGAGGAAGTCAAATTGTGTCTACTTGCAGACTACATCATTGTATATTTTGAAGACTCTATCGTCTCAGCGCAAAATCTCCTGAAACTGAAAATCAACTTCAGCGAAGTCTCAGGATGCAAAATCAATGTGCAAAAATCACAAGCATTCCTATACACCAATAACAGAATTAAAGAGATCCAAATTAAGAACGAACTGCCATTCACAACTGCTATGAAGATAATAAAATACCTAGGAACACAACTAACAAAGAATGTAAAGGATCTCTTCAAGAAGAACTACAAACCACTGCTCAAGGAAATAAGAGAGGACACAAACAGATGGAGAAACATTCCATGCTAATGGCTAGGAAGAATCAGTATCATGAAAATGGACATAGTGCCCAAAGTAATTTACAGATTCAACGCCATCCCCATCAAGCTACCAATGACCTTCTTCACAGAACTGGAAAAAACCACCTTAAACTTCATATGGAACCAAAAGAGAGCCCACATAGCCAAAACAATCCTAAGCAAAAAAGACAAACCTGGAGGCATCACATTACCTGATTTCAAACTATACTACAAGGCTACAGTAATCAAAACAGCATGGTACTGGTATCAAAACAGAGATATAGACCAGTGAAACAGAACAGGGGCCTTGGGGCAAACACCACACATCTACAACCATCTGATCTTTGACAAACCTGACAAAAACAAGCAATGGGGAAAGGATTCCCTGTTTAATAAACGTTGGGGAAACTGACTAGCCATGTTCCACAAAGCAGAAACTGGAGCCCTTCCTGACACCTTACACTGAAATTAACTCCAGATAGATTAAAGACTTAAACTTAAGACCTAACACCATAAAAACCTTAATAGAAAATGTAGGCAATAACATCCAGGGCATAGGCATAAGCAAGGACTTCATGACAAAAACACCAAAAGCATTGGCAGCAAAAACCAAAATAGACAAATGGGATCTAATTAAACTCCAGAGCTTCTGCACAGCAAAAGAAACAACCTTTGGAGTGAATTGGCAACCAACAGAATGTGAAAAAATTTTTGTAATCTACCAATCTGACAAAGGAATTATATCCAAAATCTACAAAGAACTAAAACAGATTTACAAGAAAAAACAAACCAACCCATCCAAAAGTGGACAAAGGATATGAACAGACACTTTTCAAAAGAAGACATAGTATGAATCCAACAAACATATTGAAAAAATGCTCATCATCACTGGTCATTACAGAAATGCAAATCAAAACTACATTGAGATACCATCGCATGCCAGTTAGAATGGCCATCATTAAAAAATCTGGAGACAACAGATGCTGGAGAGGATGTGGAGAAATAGGAACACTTTTACACTGTTGGTGGGAGTGTAAGTTAGTTCAACCATTGTGGAAGACAGTGTGGCGATTCCTCAAGGACCTAGAAATAGAAATTCCATTTGACCCAGCAATCCCATTACTGGGTACATATCCAAAGGATTATAAGCTGTTCTATTACAAGGACACATGCACACATATGTTCATTACAGCACTGTTCAGAATAGCAAAGACTTGGAACCAACCCAAATGCCCATCAATGATAGACTGGACAGGGAAAATGTGGCACATATACACCATGGAATACTATGCAGCCATAAAAAATGATGAGTTCGTGTCCTTTGTAGGGACATGGATGAACCTGGAAACCATCATTCTCAGCAACCTGACACAGGAACAGAGAATCAAGCACTGCATATTCTCACTCATAGGTGGGTGTTGAACAATGAGAACACATGGACACAAGGAGCAGAGCATCACACACTGAGGTCTGTCATGGCGGACTAGGGGAGGGACAGTGGGGGGTAGGGAGTTGGGGAGGGATAACATGGAGAGAAATGCCAGATATAGGTGATGGGGAGGAAGGCAGCAAACCACATTGCCATGTATGTACCTATGCAACAATCCTGCATGTTCTTCACATGTATCCCAGAACCTAAAATGCAATAAAATATTTTATATATATATATATATATATATATATATATATATATATATATATATAAAATAAAATGAAAAATAAACAAATTAAAGACAAGGATTTATAGGCAATTTATATTGATATTACATATTAGATATTGATACTGAGCTTTGAATTTATTTTAAAAAGTAATAAAAGGCCAACTAAAACTGGTTTTGGTAACTAAAAATGTTTTTTGTAATAAAAAACACTTTATTACATGTAAATGTTAGACTGAAAACCAAAGTTTACATTTGATATTTACAATTTAAAATGGATTTATCCAATTTACAACTGATTTACAATTTCCAACTAATTTACAATTGATACTCCTTGTAGCTAAATTCTCTTCTACCCTATCTGTGCCAGAAATACCTAAATTTACACCACTGTCTTTGTTTTTTTTTTTTACTCTTTTTTTTTTTACTCTTTTTTTTTTTAACTAGTAGAATCCTCAATGTGTTACTAGGCATGTAGCTACCTAGCGAAGAGACTAGAATAGGTTACTTTCTTTGCCTCAGGAATTAACAGAGATGGAAAAATTTTAAGTTAAGATTTTATTATATCTCAATTTCATTCAAACTATTAAATTAGTAAGGATATTTTCAAAGGTAAAGTAGGTTCACATTTTTCTGACTTTTGTTCAAAAAGAACAAATTTTACACCATTTCTTTCCAGGCAACATGTTGCAAGTGTTCTTAGCCTAAGAGAAGGTGCCATCATTGAATGATTATTAACAAATGCAACCATTAAAAGGAAAAATAAGAATTTAAGAGAAATATATAAAATAGCTAAATAAAACCACATTACTGATAAAAGAAACCTCCTAGAGTTGAACTTATTATAGATGTTTTCAGCATCTAATTTCTACTAAAAGAGAAAAAGAAATTTCTACTTAGCTAAAAGTTAATTTACCATGGTCCTTAAATTATTATGATGATGATAAAAATATCTATTAACTTTCTATTTATTGGATTTTCTGACAGATAAGATACATTAGAATTAAAATATATCCTTAGAAACAACTTGTTGGTAAAAACCACCAAATCCATATCCCATTAAAAAATGGTCATGTGCACCCTTACCCGCAACCATGCATGCACTCCCTCCCGTGAATAATACAGGCTTTGCTGTTGGGAAGGCCAATATGGTAGAAATGAGTTTCAATAACAACTAAGTTTTTCAGAATCCTCCTTTTTATAAACATATAAACCTTATAATAATTGCACCTTTTTTTACACACACAATTTTATAATAATTCAACTTTAAATTCAAATATGTGAAAATACTTTTATAATTGCTATGTATTAAAATTATAAAGCAGAAAGTTATTTGGTTTGTAAACATTCCAATGTGTGTTAAACGTCATTATATTTACAGTCTTCCTGGAAACATAGCTCTTCTGTTTGAAGAACGTCCTGTAACAATCTTACAGAGTAAGTCTGCTGGCAATAAATTCCGTCTTATTTAAGACATTTTTTTTTACTTGGAGTCTCTTTTTGTCACCCAGGCTGGAGTGCAGTGGTACAATCTTGGTTCACTGCAACCTTGGCCTCTTGGGTTCAAGCAATTATCCTGCCTCAGCCCCCAAGTAGCTGGGGTTACAGGCATGTGCCACCACACCTGGCTAATTTTTTATATTTTTGATAGAGACAGGGTTTCACTATGTTGGCCAGGCCGGTCTTGAACTCCTTACCTCAAGTGATCAGCCCACCTTGACCTCCCAAAGTGCTGGAATTACAGGCATAAGCCACTGCCCCCAGCCAAGAGAGACTTTATTTACTACTTCATTTTGAAAGATATTTCACTGAGTTAGAATTTGTGGTTTCCAGTTTTTTCATTCAGCACTTTAAAGTTACTACAATCCCATTTTCTCCTGACTTGAATGGCTTCTGAGGAAAAAGCTACTCTAATATTTGTTTCTTTGTAGGTGGTGTGTGTTTCACCCACAACATATCCTCTATCCTGCTGCTGGCTTTGGTATTTTCAGTATGTTTTTTTCACTTTTAATATTTTATGCCTATGTGTGTTTGTTTTTTAGGAGAGGGTGTGGTGGTGAAAATTTATCCAGCATGGTGTTCTTCAAGCTTCGTGGATTTGTGAATACTAATTATACAATTGTTAGATTGTTTGATTTAGTCTTACAATTCCTGGATACTTTAATTGTTCTATTTTGCTTTCCACTTTTTTCTTCAACGCTATTGAAGAAAAACTGAGTAACAGAGAAGTTTGGGTAACTTCTACTACTCTATTTTCCGTTTCACTGATTCTTTCCTTGGCTATAAACTTGTTGAAGATGGTCTTCATCTCTGTTATTGTGCTTTTTATTTCTAGCACTTTCATTTTATTCATTCTTATAGTTTCCATATCTCTGCTAAAATTAAACATCTAATCTTGCATATCATGCTTTTTCATCAGAACTTTTAACATACAAATTGTAATTATTTTAAATTTCCTGTCAGGTAGTTCCAACATCTCTGTCATATCTTATTCTGGTTCTCTGGATTGTTCCTGGAGTGGTACCTTTTCTTGAAATTTCATATATTTTGTAATGTTTTTTGAAAGCTGAATATTTTGTCTAGAGCAGTAGAGACTAAGGAAGTTTTAAAACTTACAAATGCATAAAAATTTCTTTCTGATAGGCCTTTAGGGGTTTGTGGTAGGTGAGGAGTTGAGCTGGATTTGAGGGTATTTTTTTGCCATACAGGTTTCAAATTCCTCTGAAGATACCTTTTATTTAAAGTGGAGGTCTGTATTTCCTTTCATTTAGGGTAGGGGCAGAATCTTATAGACCCCTCCCCACAAATAGCTGTGTTTCTGTCCCTCAGGTTTCTGCCACAAAAAAAAAAAAAAACTACTGAGTACTCTCATCAGGTAAGAGCCCATGGAAAAAAAGCCCATAAGTGGATAAGAACATCCTATATCAGTTGCCCTCATATGCTAGCAGCCTATAGCTAAATTCTTAACAGTGCCTGAGTGCATATGCTCCAGGTAAGCAAACGTTTGTGTTATGTCACTTCTCTTTAGGCATCTCCTTAGATCTCATAGTCTTTGCCCTGCAATTTCATCTGACAGGTTCAAAAACAAAGTTATAAATTTGTAGTTTTTCTGGCTTCTATTGTTAAGAGTAGGAAAAATGCTCTTTCAAGCTCTCTGCATCACTGAGGTTTACTTATTATTGACTACAACTTCCTTCCTTCATTCACTCCAAATATGATCACCATCAGTTAAAGATGACTAAAATATTCCAATGTATGAAATCCAATGAAAGAAGTGTAATTTTTGTCTCCATATCTGACTCTGCTGGTGCCACATGCTGCTTAATTAGTGAGATAAAAGTATTGTCACTGGCCAGTTTTGGTAAAAGAGGAGAAGGGACATGAAGGAGATGAAGAGAATAGCACTGTCATAAAGGGACGTACTATTTACTAAGTGCCATTTTGTGAGGATTCACTCAGGGTGGTGGCAAAAATATTAAAGGAAAAATATTCGAGAAAGTTATAGAATATAGTCACAAACCTTGTAAGGCCAAGAAGTTTGCATAGTTTCAGTAGAAGTTTGGGCTGAAGGCAGCCTAAATCCCCTTTACATGTAGTTAATAAGAAGCAAATAGCTAAGGTATGTAAAGGAGTTTATCTGAATCAGTGTTTGCTCATGAAGTCTTAAAACTACTCTTTGAGCCAGATAGCCCTCTCAGGAGGAAGTCAACTAAGGAGATTACCCTCTAACAGTATTTGCTTTAGGTATCAGAACCTGTCCTTTAATCTTTTTACTCTCGTAGTGTTGACTCAAGTCTTTGTCAATTAAACTTTACTAAATAAATGTTAGTCTCAGTGTTATAGCTCTTTCAGAATTTGTCTAGCAGGCTTTCCGGGTTTTGCCAGAAAGCCCCTTTAAAAATAAAAAATTAAAAACAAAATTAAAAAAATAAATGTTAGTCTCACTATGAAGAAAG